CTTGAGAGTTGTCGACCGCATGTTGTCGGCAACCAAGGTAAAAATCGCCCATCGTGACCGTTCATTTGTGCCAATCTCATCGTGAGTTTCGGCGCCACTAATAAAAGCGGTCACTTGTATACCGTATCTGCCGCTTTCCAATAACGGGTTTATCTGTGTATTTCCCATGTGAAGTACGGCTCCCACGAACAAGTCACCATCTCTGTCTTCTTGTTGAACTCATGATGCCAATGTTTACCTCGAGGCTATTCAGTGCTGAGTAATGTTCACTGAAAGCAAAATCTGTCCAGTGTGACCATAAGTCTTGCATAACTTTATTGGTTCACCCGAAGATTACCTCCCCCCTCCCCCCCCCCACCCTCATTTTATTTCACCCTTATGTTACCTGGAGGAGTTAGGTTAGGTTAACATTAGGTGTGTTCAACCATCAGGTAAAATTAGCTGGAGGGCTAATCTTCAGGTGATCCGCAGTATTAAACCAAATGATTGAAATGTTAATCCAAGCCGGGCGAGTTTTCTCTTAAGATAATATACACAGTTATAGTTTACTCTATTAACTAGACTGTATTAAGGTTACAGCAGACAGGACATTACTGTAGTTACATACTGTCGCTTTAGGTACATTGTATACGGTCTATGTACATTATATACCTGGATTGTCTATGTACATGTTGAACTGTATACCTGCATTGTTTACATATATGCTGAATCAATGTACACTTAGTCTGACGATTTTACCTAATATCTATCACTGCCAGTTAATGTGGGGAGGTATGGTGGTGTGGTGTGGTGTGGTGTGGCAACTCATGGTGTGGTGTGGATTTTAAACAACAACAGGTGTATCACAACAGGTGCACTGACGCGAGACTTAAATAACACACGTAAGATGAAAAATGGTCTATCCGTGTGTACCTCAGGCAGGGCTAGATAGATGGCTAGATAGAGGAATGGATAGATATATATATAGGAATGGTAGATAGATGCAGAAAGGTAGATGGGAAAGGATTAGCAGGTAAATATATGTAAACGAGAGAGAGAGAGAGAGAGGACCACCACTTCATGGTCTTATCAAGAGGAAGAGAGATAAGATTACTCGTCTGTCTGTCCGTCCGTCCGTCCGTCCGTCCGTCTGTATGGATGGATGAGTTACCACAAACACACTTTTACGCTGACTATTTACATCATCCACTTCCGCCGCTCACTCATACAGACCTCATTCAATATTACGGTACTTTCCTTTTCACTCCTCGTTCAATTTACCTTCTACCGTCCTTCACTTCTGTTGATGGTTGTGTTACTGTGTCGTTCTTCCCTCGGTTATCGGTACCGTCTATTACTAACGCTTATTTGTTGACACACTTCCTCATTTTCACACTTGTTTCATCTCATGTGCATTTAGGTTCACCTTGTGTGTGTGTGTGTGTGTGTGTGTTATCCATTATTTTATTTATATCCCATGGCGGAGTATCAGCTTCCCAGGGAGTGTTGTAAAATCGGCACACGCACACACACGCACGCACATAAAACCAGTGTTAGTACATCTTCTATACATTGTGTCACCACCACCACCACCACTACTACTACTACTACTACTACTACTACTACTTTTTTTTTACGTGGCCTCAGCCTCCCCCAATAGCCACACCTTCGCCGCCATTTTATTACCTTAATATTAAATATCCTAATACATAAGTAGCTATCCTATCTGTGTTGAATTAGTTGAGCCGCAGATCTATGCGGCATTCTACTACTACTACTACTACTACTACTACTACTACTACTACAACTACTACTGGGGGTGAAGAGTGTATAGCTGTTTCAAAATTTCGAGTTTCCCGGAAAATTAATCACCCTAATGCCAACCTAATCCAATCCAATTTAGCTTAATCCAACCATCCTAATCCACCCCATTCTAACCCAACCCAGGTAGCTTTAGGTTAGGTTAGGTTAAGTTAATCTTCAGGTGATGAAATATCCCGGATCATAGTGACGTGTGTGTGTGCAGTGATACACATTATGGAGAAAGAGTGTGTGTACTTGATGATTACACACACACACACACACACACACACACACACACACACACACAAACGTTGAGTCACCAGAAGCTTTCCCAAGACGAGGCGTTAATGAGGGTGTCGTGGGTGGCAGGTGACGTCTCTCTGCAGTTATTGACCCTCTGTTTAACGGACTATACGGAGAGGAGAGTCCGTTATATCGAGGGACTGTTATGTATGAAGCCTGTATTTAACGGTCTATACGGCGAGGAGAGTCCGTTATATCGAGGGACTCGTATATGAAGCCTCTATTTAACGGACTATACGGAGAGGAGAGTTCGTTATATCGAGGGACTGTTATGTATGAAGCCTGTATTTAACGGTCTATACGGAGAGGAGAGTCCGTTATATCGAGGGACTCATATATGAAGCCTCTATTTAACGGACTATACGGAGAGGAGAGTCCGTTATATCGAGGGACTGTTATGTATGAAGCCTCTATTTAACGGACTATACGGAGGAGAGTCGTTATATCGAGGGACTGTTATATATGAAGCCTCTATTTAACGGACTATACGGAGAGGAGAATCCGTTATATGGAGGGACTGTTATATATGAAGCCTCTATTTAACGGACTATACGGAGAGGAGAATCCGTTATATGGAGGGACTGTTATATATGAAGCCTCTATTTAACGGACTATACGAAGAGGAGAATTTGTTATATGGAGGGACTTATATATGAAGCCTCTATTTAACGGACTATACGGAGAGGAGAGTACGTATTATCGAGGGACGTTCCTATTTTCAATGACATTTTAGAATATATTATCTAGACCATTTAATTCAATCTATCCTCAAACTTTTATCCTGGTGTTGACATTATCACCCATATCCGGCCAGCCAACCAATCACCGACGTCAGAGCTCATAACGTCATCGCCCGCCATATTTGATTTCCCCGCCAGCCAACCAATCACCGACGTCAGAGCTCATAACGTCATCGCCCGCCATATTTGATTTCCCCGCCTCCACCTAGATATAACTAGGGAGAGCTTGAGGTGACCTGAATAGTATAATTAAGAGTATAGGGGAGGGAAGAGTCACGGGGTGTATATATATATGAAGAGTTATCATTATCTCCGCTTTATAACTTTCATCTTGGAAAGTTCAGGAAAGTTTGAATGTGTGTCATGGAACCTTTTATTATTTTTTTTATTAAGTCCACCGTCGTTTTGAAGAGCAGGTGAGTGCCTGGTGTGTTCTGAGAATGCCATTATTTCTGAAGTTGGAAGAGTCAGGTGGTTGTGGGGTGGGGATATTTCTGTCGTGTGTGTGTGTGTGTGTGTTTAGGTGAGTGTTTGTTTGGATACGTAAGTGTTTAAGCGAGTGTGTGAGTGAGATTGAGGGAATGATTTAGTGCTTGAGCGAGTGTATGCAGTGTATGTATGAAAGAGTGTTTGAGTGAGTGGGTGTGTGTTTGAGTGAGTGTTTGGGTGAGCATATGAGTGACTGCTTGAGTGAGTGTCTGAATCAGTAACAAGAATAACTACCATTAATATTTGATAGTTAAAAAAATCATAACTTAATACTCATTCAGTAACACCTGTTTGAGGCTAATTAGATGTTTAGGACAGGTAAGATACGGACCTACCCACCTACCTGAGCTATGACGTAGTATACAGTAGTAGTAGTGGTAGTAGTAGTAGTAGTAGTAGTAGCCAGGGAGGGAAAGTGTAAACATGACGGGATTGCCACACACACACACACAGGTCACCCAAGCGTACTAACATTATTACTACTTAACCTTACCTAACCCAGCCCAATCGTACCCTATCCTAACTCTAAGCTAACACTATCCCCCTAACCCTCCCCCTTACCCCCTAACCCCCTCACCTACCCCCCCAGAGAGCGTTAGAGTGTTTAATTAATCAGGTGGGCGGATATTTCGCCAACCGGACATTTCGTCATGGGGAAATTCATGACTGTGTTTTATTTATTAAATTTATATAATATTGTGTTTACTATGGAGACTATGAAGCCATGGTTAGGTCAGGTTAGGTTAGGTTTAGTTAAGTTAGGTTTTGTTAGGTTAGGTTAGGTTAGTTAAATTGTCCTAGAACCGTTTAATCATCAAGTGAAATAAGCTGAGGGCGGGGTGGCTATTCTTCAGGTGATACGAACCTTATGTCGGCAGTCCTACAGCTGTAACAGGAGGTGTGTGTGTGTGTGAGTGAAAGTCCGAGCATAACGGAACTACTCATTGACTCACTCCAACGGCCTTGAGTCAATAACTTTCTCTCTTCTTTCTAAACAACACTAAAGATCATTTTCTATTTAACGTATTGGTTAAATTATATAGACGTGTTTTGAGTCGCTTGGGTTAATAAGTGAAATGTTAGTTGGTGGTAGTGGTTGGGTGGAGAAAGTGTTAACAGAACGCTGGCTAGAGAGAGTTGGGGAGGTGGTGGGGAGAAGGGGAGGTGTATGGTTAGGGGTGGAGATGTGAGGGAGGGGGACGAGGTGTGTAGGAGATGTGGGGGAGGGGTGAGATGGATACTCGCCAACACACATCAGGTATGGCCTCCGGTGAACGAGATTCCAATGAACTAGTGTGTTGATTTTGGTTCGGTTTGGTTAGGTGTACTGTCTCAATGTTGCTCGTGTAGTGACAGAATGTACCATGCGTTGACTGATAATGAACCATGCGTTGACTGACAATGAACCATGCGTTGACTGACAATGAACCATGCGTTGACTGACAATGAACCATGCGTTGACTGATAATGAACCATGCGTTGACTGATAATGAACCATGCGTTGACTGACAATGAACCATGCGTTGACTGACAATGAACCATGCGTTGACTGATAATGAACCAAGCAACGCGGTAATGTCGGCGACCATCTCTTAACTTACACCGGAAACGCATCGAGATAAAGAGACGCGTACTATAATGCGCACCAACACATCCTGACGATAAACTTTACTCAGTTGTCACGTAATGCAGTGAATTTAATTTTGTTAGTTTGCTCTTAACTTTAGATGATGGTAGACGCGTTGTGTTAAAATAAGAATTAACCTTTTAACTTCCTCGGTGGCTGAAATATGAAAAATGGCTGGAATGTAAGTAGAAAAATTACCGGATTATTGGTTTATTTAAATGTTTATTGTTTAGTAAGATATTAATGATGTTGAAATATTTGAGTATTGTAAGAAACTAGAGAGTGAATGTTAATGTTTGTTTTAGATAGATAGATTACATTGATTCATATTACCAAATTATACAATGCAGGTGTACAAACAAAACACAAGCGGTGAAAATATACAAACCACACATAAACGGTTGCAAGTATGTAAACAATGGTAAACAGTAAGGTAATATAACCGAGGAAGATGTTAACTGTGTATTTCCATTGAGTCGCTAGTAAACAAGTGGTGGTGTGGTGTAGTGTCAGCTGTGTGCTTGGGTGGGATAAATGTTGTTTGTTGTTATCATCTGTAAGGCGAGTGTAAACAAACTTGGGGGGGGGGGGTGGTAGTGACGTGTGTGTGATCACCTGTTGGGAAGAAAGGTGAGAGAGAGAGAGAGAGACAGAGAGCCATTCTAGTGCCACTGACGTCACCCTTATAATCTCCTCCCACTGCCCCCCTCCCCCTCCCCCAGGTTCTACAGCCTGTCAGAAGTGGTGAACGTCTCTCGATAAGGAGTGAGTGGGTGGGGAGGGAGGGAGTGGATGGAGAGGGAGGGAGTGAGTGGGTTGGTGGAGAGGGGGAAGAAGATTAGAGGGTGGGTGGAGTGGATGGAGTGGAGGTGGAAGAATTGTAGTTAAGAAAGAGGAATTGGGATAACATGATGGAGAGTAGGAGGGGAGATGGTTGATTAGGAACAGATGGAATGGGTATATGGTCATAAGGGATAGAGAGGGTGGGAAGATGATGAAGGAGGAAGAGGAAGAGAAGGTGGAATGGGAGGAAGAGGAACTGGGATGGTGCATTACACTGTGGTACTCATATCCTGGGAGCACATGATGCGGGTGTGTGTGTGTGTGTGTCTGAGTGTGTGAATGAGTTAGGAAGTGTGTGTGTGTGTGTGTGTGTGTTAAGTTGTGTGTCTGAGTGTGTGAGTGAGTTAGAAAGTGTGTGTGTGTGCGTGTGGTTACGTTCCCTCCCTCTCTATCAGCTGGTATTTACGTCAGGGAGGAAAGGGGGGGGGTCGCTTGGGGGGGTGTGTGGTTGGGGGAGGGAATTACCAGCCAGAAGTCGTTATCAGTGTGTAGGTTGTGGGGAAGTAGTATGGTAGTTGTGGTTGTGGGTGGTGGATGATGGTTGTAGTGAGGTTTGTGAATAGTTGTGGTAGATGGTTATAATAGTGGCGGAGGATTGTGGTAGTGGTGGATGGTTGTAGTATTAGTAATAACAGTATACATCCCAGCACAGTATTTCCCTTCACCGTTAACTGCACATCCCAGCCGAGTACTTTCTTCACCGTTAACAGTACACATCCCAGTCCAGTATTTCCCTTCACCGTTAACAGTACATATCCCAGTCCAGTATTTCCCTTCACCGTTAATAGTACACATCCCAGCACAGTATTTCCCCTCACCGTTAACAGTACACATCCCAGTCCAGTATTTCCCTTCACCGTTAACTACACATCCCAGCCGAGTACTTTCTTCACCGTTAACAGTACACATCCCAGTCCAGTATTTCCCTTCACCGTTAACAGTACACATCCCAGCACAGTATTTCCCTTCACCGTTAACAGTACACATCCCAGCACAGTATTTCCCCTTACCGTTAACAGTACTGTTAGTGACCCACCTGATGTAATCTCAAGTTTTTATCAACGCTCTTTGTTTCCACTTTCTTCTTCCTCTGTTTATTCTCCTCCTTCTGTCGCTTTCTAATTCTTTTCTCTTCCACGCTGTTCTTTGATTCGTTCTCCGTTTTCTAAGTGATTCGGTCTGCGTTTTCTAAGTGATTCGTTTTCTGTATTCTATGAGTGACTCGTGTTATTGTTTTTATTAACATAACTATATTTAATTTTGTTTTATAATTTGACTTGCATTAAATAGATCACCGAGGTTAATAACTTTTTAATTAGTTAGGTTATTGATAGGTTAGATTTGGTTAGGCTACAAATTTTGCTGTAGTTAGTTCGTTAGGTTAGGATAGGTTACGAGTTTTACTGTAGTTTTGTAAGGTCGGTTCAATAGATAGTATTGTAAATTTAATATCAATGAATATCTTGATACAGTACTTCCCAGATGCTGTAATCTCTGGGTTACAAAATGACGATACAGATACAGTTTTACCCCGTTGTTGTTGTGATGGTGACAATAACACTTGCTTACAACATTCAGTTAACACAAGGTTATAGAATTCCTCGCTGTCATCATCATCATCATCACCGTTTAACAGCCATTGGTTATGTAATATCTACATCTCTATATGTACACAATGTATCTATGGTATATATCTAGCAAGAGAGAGAGAGAGAGAGAGAGAGAGAGAGAGAGAGAGAGAGAGCACATCTGGTTATAATTAAGAGAGGTTGTGGGTAGCGACACAGACCGTGAAGGCGGCTTAGCTTATGTGAGTGGCAACACACACACGCACACACACATTGGTATATCTGTCATCTTTATCGTGACGAGTTAGCTTACAAGTGATGAAAAAACGCGGCCATTATTCTCCCCTGAGGCATAAGAGGCGGTTGCAGTCTCTCTATCTATCACCGTTTATCCTTATTTATCTATCTACCTATCAGCGTTTGTCTTTATATATCTATCTATCTATCAGCGTTTGTCTTTATCTATCTATCTATTACCCTTTGTCTATATGTCTATTTGTCGTGTACAGTGTCTATCAGTCTTGTGTTGGTGGGTTATGTGTGTGTGTGTGTGTGTGTGTGTGTGTGTGTGTGTGTGGTGGGGTTATGTGTGTGTGTGTGTGTGTGTGTGTGTGTGTGTGTGTGTGTGTGTGTGTGTGTGTGTGTGTGTGTGTGTGTGTTCAGCAGGGGACAGACAAACACACACTATGAACGTGCCTCGTAGCCATCAAGTTCAGGGTTATAGAGGGTGGAAGGTCATTGCCAACACTTGCTACCACCATGTCCTGTAACACTTGCTACCATCACACGTCCTGCAACTTTTGCTACTACCCACGTCCTGCCAACGCTTGCTACCATCACGTCCTGCCAACGCACTGCCATCACGTCCTGCCAGCACTTGCTACTGCATCACGTCCTGCCAGCACTTGCTGCATCACGTCACCAACGCACCACTCAACGCACTAACACTTGCTCCATCGCACGTCCTGCCAACACTTGCTCGTCCTGCCAACACTTGCTACCATCACACGTCCTGCCAACACTTGCTACCATCACACGTCCTGCCAACACTTGCCACTACCACTCGTCCTGCCAACACTTGCTACCATCACACGTCCTGCCAACACTTGCTACCATCACACGTCCTGCCAACACTTGCTACTACCGCTCGTCCTGCCAACACTTGCTACCATCACACGATCATGGTGCCACCTGTTGCTGAGTCACGGGGCACTTAGATTAGGTGAGACTACTGTACAGTACTGAAGGTAAGGTTAGGTTGAGGTTAGGTTAGGATTTGGTTAAGTTAGGTGAGGTTAAGTTAGGTTAGGATTTGGTTAAGTTAGGTTAGGATTAGGTTAGACTACTGAAGGATAGGTTAGGTTAGGTTAGATTAGGTGACATATAGCTTCAAATGTGTCCTTGATGTGTTCATGTTGACGCCATAATTAATGTCTTCTATGATACCTTCTGAGCCGTTCATACTAGCCGCCATTTTGTGAACTTAACCCACATATGTATAGGGTGCCCTCCCTCCCTCCTTCCCCAATTTACAGTGTCTCAGGGAGCAGGCAGGGAGCAGATAGGGAGGGAGGAAGGAAGGCAGGGAGCAAACAGGCAGGGAGGGAAGGAGAAGACAGGCAGGGAGACAGAGCCATTTTTCCCGGAACACCATATATATATAGATATCGTTTCAGACTTTTAATAATATCTGTAACACAATGTCGCTGAAGGTTACCGAATGACGTCACAACTGGCGGTGGGTATATGCGGGACTGGCCAGAGGAATAAATGAGGGAAGTCGGCCATTATGTAGTAGTAGCATCACACCTAACCTAACCAATCACAGAGTTTGTTGACATGTGACGTCATTACTTGGCTGGCCGATTCCCTTTATTCCTCCGTGTGAGTCTACTTATAGTGGGTGAGATAGATAGATATAAATATTCTTAATTAAATATGATATAATAATAAAAATTCAATAACAAGAGCAGGGCAAGATTGTTAAGAAGGACGGGGGGAGGGGGAAGTAGGGAGGGAGGCAGTGGAGAGACCTTGACACAATACTGGTGAGGGTCATGATCACAGCTATGTTACGGTACTGTGTGTGGTAGGGTGTTGTGTTATGTGTGGGTGTATGTCTGTACGTGTGTGGGTGTGTGTCTGTACGTGTGTGTGTATGGTTGTATTTATGTATTTTTATATTTGTTTGTTTAATAGTGTTGGCGGTGTTGTTGTTGGTGATCCTGGTGGTGGGAACAAAAGAATGGAGGAAACTGCAGCGGGTCTATTGGCCCATACTGGGCAGTCCCATTTACACCCAACCCCTATCGCTCATATATCCATCCAACTTATGTTTGAAGCTACCCAGCGAATTCGAGTTAATGATGATGTTTGGTGACTTGTTCCATTCATCCACTACTCTATTTCCAAACCAATGTTTACCGATTTCGCGCCTAAATCTAAATTTGGCTTATTTAAAAACATTGTTACGAGTTCGCTCTAGTTGGATAGTTTGAGTACCTTTGTAATGTCCCCTTTGTTTAGCCCTGACTTCCATTTATACACCTCTATCAGGTCGCCCCTCGCTCTACGTCTCTCGAGGGAGTGCAAATTAAGATACTTCAACCTGTCTCTGTGCTCGAGGTTCTTAATGCCCGGGATTAGTCTTGTCATTCTCCTCTGAATTCTTTCTAGGGATTCTATATCCAATCTGTAGTACGGTGACCAGAACTGAACTGCGTAATCCAAGTGAAGTCTCACAGGCGCAAGATATAGTTTTAGGATGACC